GGTGGCTCAGTCAGTTAAGCGCCTGCCTTCGGCTCAGGTCATGATCCCGGGGTCCTGGGATCGAGTCCCACATCGGGCTCCTTGCTCTGCAGGGAGCCTGCTTCTCCCTCTCCTCCCCACTTGTGCTCTCTCTCACTATCTCTATCTCTCTCTCTCAAATAAATAAATAAAATCTAAAAAGAAAAATTTAAATAAGTAAATAAATAAAAAATATGGCATTTTGCCCAGTGAGCTCCTCCCCTAAACCTACAGCTTCAGATTGTTAACACTCGAGAATACTGAAATGAGAACCATAACAGACTTAAAATACAGTTGACCTTTGCATAACATAGACCTGAATGTCATGGGTCCACTTACATGTGGATTTTTTTAATAAATACAGTATACAGTACTGTAAATGTATTTTCTTTTGTTTTTCTTAATAACATTTTCTTTTTTCTAGCTAACCTTATTGTAAGAATATAGTATATAATACATATAATATACAAACAATGTGTCAACCAACAGTTTATATTATCAGCAAGGCTTCCAGTGAACAGTAGGCTATTAACAGTAGGCTATTAAGTTTTGGGGGTCCAAAGTTAGACCCAGGTTTTTGACTGTGTCGGGGGGTTGGTGCCCCAAACCCCAGCATTGTTCAAGGTTCCACACTGTTCTTCACTGAGGAGATCATGGTCTAGAATATGAGTGACGATACTGAACAATGTCTATATGTGTGGCTCAGGGAGACAACTGAGTTATTTCACTCTCTCCAACTCCAGGGCACTGCCCACTGTAACAAGAGCTGGAACAGTGAAAGAAATAAAACTCAATTACACCATGGTAATCCATAAAAAATGTGACCAACTTGCAGGCAATTAGCTCACTAGTTGCCCATAGTCATCTTCACTCGCTCTTGCATTTAACAACTTTGGATTCAAACTTTCCTTTCTCTGGGTGATTTTATGTTTACTGAATACTGACAAATTTATTTGTTCCCTTAAATAACAGCTGTTGACACATAGATCTTAAGCA